TTCGCCCTATTGCTACTCAAATTAAGGAGTAATAATAATCACTATTTACTGGCAAAAATAAAAATATAAGTATATGAAGCACTTGTCCAAAGTGTATAATCATTGGATTTATTGGCTAGCTATTGCAATATATAAATAGAGGTACCTATGTATTGTATAAACACTATAAGGTTGTAACAAGAAAAATTTCGATGACAATGACAAATTTATATTCGCTTTGTTGTGGTTGATTATATAGATAGATTTTGATAATCACTAATCACAGAAGTTCATCATAAAATTATAGCAAGTAAAGTATTATTATGGCCCATTAATGTTAAATTTTAGTAGCCATTGGGGATAGACTTGTCTTGATTTTCTTCCGGTGAGAAGACAAAAGGGCCAACGGTGAAGAGCTTCATCCTAAGCTTGTTTTCAACGAGACGGTATTTTTGGAGAATTGCTCCGCTGATTCCACGGTTGATCTCCGTCGGCAAAGAACACGTGTCAGCCGGAGAAAGCTCAAGAAACGCTCTACATTCTTTGATATTCACTTTCTTATAATTCTTCACCTCCGACGGAGAAAGAGTTGCTAGGAAATAACCCTTCGCATCCGTCGCTTGGCTAAGTACCGTCACGTCCTCAGCCTCGTAGCCGTATTCGTCCGCCGTCTCACATGTCACCCTAGCCACCGCACCTGTCCAAGTGTGTCTATATTAGTAACAAAACCATCTTTTATTATGTGTAACTATATATTTTTTTATCAAAATAAAATAGAAACATATTTTGCTAAAAATTGTAAATATTTCATTAAAATGAATAAGGTTTGGTTTTACAAACTCAATTATAAAACCTATACTATGAATCCATGGCAAAAAAATTAAAACATGGAAACATAAGACATGAACCGGTTTTCAGTCTGTCCGTTTGACATTAACCCGTGGGTTAATGGAGGTAGGCGAAGTGATGTCATTGTTAGATGTTCGTCCAGAATCTGCTAAAGGAGTGAAGAAGCGCAACATACCGCAGGAACCAAACTAGCAAAGACAATTGCCGAAGAAGCATATTTTAAAGGCGGTTCTAACAAAAGTTGTCAACGGTAAGGACTTGCAGGACTCGATCACATACGCCCTTGTCGTCATGTGAGAGTGGCAAAAAGCACAAGACCATGAGCTGGCTAGAGGCAGAAACCACACAAACTAATACGCGAACGGCAAGAGCTTACCCTACCAAGAACAGATCATGGGTCTCGAAATCGGCTAGTACAGAGCGTTGAGTGGTCAAAACCAAAATAGAAACATGTGTAACTACAAAACTAGTATGCTTATATGTTATTGTTACTGGATTTGACACCAAATCTTACCCATAAAAAGTGCACTACCGAAACAACCTTTGAGGTCCGGAAAGAAATGTTATCTCGGTTTTATGCCAAAAAAACGTGTGTAATTGCTGCATGAATATACTAGCTCTGATTTTAAAAGTGAAAAACTACTAAATTATCATCAAATATACGTTAACAAAGTTGCTCTTACTCGTGATCATAAATTCATCAAAAAGGAAGAAGAGAATGGGCTAATTTTTGTTTTCGAAAGTGCTAAATTGATTTGATTTACATATTCTGGTAAGGTATTGTTAAAATTTCCTCAAATTAGCCAATATAATGTCAGTTTATATATATGAACATGTATCATTTTGTCTTTTTCATTTATATAGTCGCATTTATCACTATAATATCACACATTACAGTATATCTATGATGGAATTCTTACCTTGGATAGGGGTGAGCTTAGATCCTTGTTTACAGTAGATAAGACCTTGAACTCCGATCATCGAAGATAGCAATTCCCCGCCGGTGATTGTGGCTACTCCGGCGGCGACTAGGGACGAGAGAAGCAGCATGTAAGGAACGAAGAAACATTTTAGAGCCATTTCTATTTTTTTTCTTAACTATATGAGCTAATTTGTTTTAACTTTCAACTGTATTATATAGATGTATAAATGTGTTTTGTTGATGAATGAAAGTTGTAAAATGAGAATTATATATATAGGGTTTTAACGATAAGGTTAATAAATCCAAAATTATATATGAGAATAAGGGACGTGACTTGGGCGCACGTTTTAGCTCATGATCCTAATAATTGCATTATTATGCACCCAAAAGTGTCTATTTTTGATGCATATTAGAGGACGTGCAGCCACTTTTTATTTTATTTAAAAATCATTAGCGTTGTATATTTAGTTTCAGTTTTTCTCCACGATTAAGTGATTCTCTTAATCCATGCATGAAAATAAAATCGTTCTATATTTTCTTATTAGTTTGTGCTAATGGTCAATATTTTTAATGGATCATAGGGAACAAAGGGAAATCTTAGAATAACTAAGTTTTACACCACGCTACGCATATCTTTGTTTTATCGATGAGTTTAATATATATATGGACATGCTAATTTTTAAATTAGCTAGACGTGAACATATACAAATGCAAAAGTATAGTGGTAAGCAAGTGAATATTGATTTTTATCGGTTATCGAAGTTTTCCTTTACTTTTTCTAATATATAGAAATATTTTTTAGATGGAAATGTTTTTTTTTAAATAGAAGAAAACAAACTTAAAACAAAAAAAAAAACAAAAAAATTTCAATGCATAGATTTTTCTTAAATGGAAAATTTTATGAAAAAACAAATTAGAAAAAAATCCTACTTAGAAAATTAACTTAATTATAAACGTTGATGTGACATATAACCAGTGACAGAGCCAAATTTTTATTTATGTGGGGGTCAATATTTGTTAACACATGTAAAACCAAAAAATTAGATGAAAGCAATATAATTGAAAAGGTGCAATGAACATGTCGAACGCATGTCACGGTACCAAATCATCTAAATGCCATTAGGTAAACACATGCACACACAAAATTTTATAAAAGTTATGGGGGTCAGCTGACCACCCTCCTTCTTACCTAGCTCCGCCACTGCATATAACTATTAGTCGATTAAAATTTTATGTGGACGGTTTAGAAGCTAATAGCTTTTATATGTTGATTGAATGGTTGTGTGTACACATTTGTTCCTGGTTGGGAGTAAAACTTGCTTTACTCTCTAGCACAATAAGTACACACAACAGTTCCAAAGGATCTTTCACTCAATATCTATCTTGTTTTCATATTAGCTCGAAGAAGTCGTGTATGATTACACAACGGGTAACTACAAAAAGGCTTTATAACTACTCAGTTCAGAGTTTAGCGCCTTTAATTACAAGGTAAAACAAATCTCAATCAACTAACTAAAATACTCTCGATCAAACGCGTAAAAATTCTCTCGAGTTAACTAACTAAATTGGTTAAAACCCTTCCTCAATTGTTTTTTAAGAGGGTTTCTTTCATCTTTTGGAAAGCCTTCATAAATTAGTGTGAATTCTTCCTAAATTTGTTCATATTTAGGAAGACCTTCCTAAATTAGTTAAAAGCCTTCCTAAATTTGCTTTTAGGAAGGTTTCCTACATATTTAGGAAGTAAGGCTAACATGAATTAAATTAATTTTATTTAAGGGTCCAACACAATAATATGTACCTCCCAGTGCACATCCCTTGCGTCAATCGACGCACCTCCCAAAATTCTAAATTTTGGTTCACGGGAGTTACAATGAAAAAGATTTAAAAGTTTAAAAACAAAAAGTAATTAAAACATACACTAAATATTTATTTTGATCACTATAC